TGTAATTTTGTAGGCATTTTTCATTTCAGACAGTCCTGCTGTTTTGTCATCACTGGGAACAGGGTCCAATGAGACATGTTCTCCAGTTGTTTCGGAAGGGCTCACTGGAGCTGCTGTTTTCAGCATGACTTGTACCTGGTAGACAGTCTGGTGAATATAGCTTCTTTATACCTGTTTCATGGTTGGTTTGGGTTTTTTTGGTCTACCATGCTTCAGCCTACGCTTCCACACACAATCTTCTTCTCATTTTCCTTTAGTCAAGACAGAAGACAGCAGGATCTGCTGAGTGTGAAGTCTCTTCTGGAGCTGAATATCAGAGGGAACCCCCAAAAGACTCCAATTGAGAGACACGAAAGCTACCTTTTACAGGCTTGCTACGATAGGATTTCTCATTATGTTCTGTAATTGCTTGGGGTTAAAGTAGCTTTAAAAAGATATTTCTTTTTAATAGAGACTGAATTTCATGAAATACATTGTGTATAGCCTATAAAAGTATGGATCTAGAATATCTTAATTATTGGTGTAGACTACCATGTGATGAAAATATGTAGAGCAAATTGCAAAAGCCTCTTGATTGCAGAACACTGGTAAACACATACTGTTGTTGTGCATGGAGGATGACGATAATATAAAAACAAAGTAGAGTTGCATTCCTGGATTAGAGTAACAGGTCTTGTAAAAGGAAGTGTTGATTCGTGAAAGTACTCTTGAATAACGTGTGGCTCTTGTATGTGTCCTTCATTCTTGTCTTCTGCCTGGAAGTGAGTCAGAGAGATTGGCGTCTTCTGTTTTCTGAAGGGCTGATTTGAGGAAAAGTGGGTTTTCCTGGTGATGGACCCAGAGGAGGAAAAAAAGAAAATGAAAAAACCCTTTGTTGCATTTTGGGGAGGGGCAGCGCAAAAATTTTCTAGGGTTTTTTGTTTGTTTTGTGTTGGAGGCTTTTTTATTTTGTTTTGTTGTGTTTTTTTTTTTTTTTTTTAAACAGGACTTGATTACAAATATACTGTTTTGGACATGTGTTACATATTTGTATGCAATATTTTAGCATTTGTGTAGGATCTGCTGTAAACTGATTTCAGATTGATATTTTGTAATGCCTTTGAGGAAAATTTAGTGCTTTATACAAAATTGTTTTAACAATACATCTCTGGAAACAATGATTTCAGGGTTTGTTTTGTTGTGTTTTTTTTTTTTTTTAATAGGTAATGTCTGTACATGAATTGCAAGCTACTCTCTAGTGGGGACACTGTGGGAGGATGAACACGGAGGAGCTGGAGCTACTGACTGATTCCAAGTATAGAAACTATGTAGCAGCTGTTGACAAAGCACTGAAGAACTTTGAATATTCCAGTGAATGGGCAGATTTAATATCAGCACTTGGAAAGCTAAACAAGGTATGCCTGGTAGGTGCTCTTGGAAGAGATTCAGGAACTGACAAAGGGTAATGAGGTCAAAATACAGAAGAGCAAGGTTCTAGCAGCATAATATTCATGCAAATATTTTAGCAGTCTGAGCCAAATGCTGGGTGTGTGCAAGGAGCAAACAAATCGAATGCCTTTCTAAGACAGTTGAACCTTTTGTAATTGGAAGTAAAGGGAAAAGTTATTTACATTTGTAGTGGTGGAAATAAATGCAACATCTTTTTTTATTACTAATGTTTACTTCTAATCTCATTCAACGTTATTAAAATAGTGTGAAAAATAGTAGCCAGTATAAATATCAGCAATGTTTCTATGAAGCATGAGTTATAAAATAGGGCTCAAGTCATTCATTGACCAGAGAATGTTGTTGTTCTGATTTGTTTTAACAGTTAGTCAGTTGAATGTGTAATATCATTGTGATCTTTAATAGCAGTATACAAATGAATACAGATCCTGATATCTGTAAAAATCTTGTTCTAATCAGCCCTATGTGTTTCTAGGAATCTCTAGTCAGAGTCTTAGAGTTCCCTTTGCACGTATGCATCTTACCAATGTGAAACTTTGCAGAATTTGGCATAGGAAATTACAAGTCTGAAGCATTTACACTCTACCCTTTAAACTTTGTGGAAAATCAAGAATGACAGTACAGTTGGCAGTGCCAATGGCATAATTTCTTTGTATAAACTCCCATTTCTTTCAGTTTTTTGATTGTAACAGTTCTTACTGCACATGTATACAAAGTGAAGGCGGTGATATTGAGAAAGAAAAGTGTAGAGATGTAAAGGCAGCTCTGTATTCCGGTCCTAAAGTGATTATATAGTTTCAGGTAATGGTAGAGCTTTGTAATGTTGTCTCACTCTATGACAGTTTCTTAAAGTTATCCCAAACTCACCACCCACAGTTTAATAGTCATCTGTGAGCTACTGGCAATGGATGCTAACAAATAGAGACAGTGATTTTTGCCCTCAAAAGGATGAGTAAAATGAAATGGACAAGCTCTAAGTAAGGAGCCCATTGCAAGTGAAGTTTTAAATGCCTTGACAGTTCCATCTACAGCAAGCGTACACGCGAAAGGCCTTGCAAAGAAAAAGCTCTACAGTACATCTTAAAAGTGTTTTTTTTTTCTTGTGTCACATCCCAGGAATGTGTTATGACTTACTGATCATGTTCAGGAACTCGTTTATATATTTTGCATTTGAAGTTTAACGTGGTTTGTGCTGTGTTTCTTAATGTGTTGATTTATCAGGTACTACAGAACAACGCGAAGTACCAGGTAGTACCGAAAAAGCTGACTATAGGCAAGCGCTTAGCACAATGTCTTCATCCAGCTTTGCCGGGAGGGGTTCATCGGAAGGCACTTGAAACATATGAGATCATTTTCAAAATCATTGGACCCAAGCGTTTGGCCAAAGATCTTTTCCTCTACAGGTACAATAGTTTAAACAACTCTATTCCATCTCTGTAGTTGAGATGCTTTTGCTTTCCTGCATTTTTTATTAATAATATTATTTGGTACATAGCAAGAGTCAAGTAATTTCTTTCCCTCATGTTACTGGTGCGTGTGTAATACTCTTCTTCTGAATATTGTGTATCAAAACATAAACAGATCTCCTAAACTTTTCTTAGGAGCAAACTTTAGTGCTAGAAAACCTAGAATTTATTATTTCTTTCATTGAAATAAGTAGTTTTGTGCATGTATGTACAGTAATTGTAGTGTTAACACTTATTTCAATGTTTTCACATTATCCTTTTCTATTTTAATTTAAGTGATTTTGAGTATAGTTTATTGCAAGAAACTTTCTCTTCCAAACAATTACATCAACAGAACAGAAAGATTATCTGTTTTACTAGAATGGGGAGCAAGTAAAAAATTTTTCTCACCGTCAGTCTCTAGAAGTGATGATAATGAAAAGGAAAGATAACCTTGAAAAGTAAATGTGGCAAAATACACTGATTCCTAAGCCTCCAATAAGTTTTTGGTTGGGTGGGAACGGCAAGACATTAAGCTATTTATTATATAAGGCATAGAGGGATGTGTGCATATCTGTATACAGGCAGTCATACAGGGTTCTTAAGATTATATCCCTGGAGATTAAAACTTCATCAGTTTGAGAAATAATGGAATAAAATCATTCTCTTTAGGCAGCAAAGGTGCGTATTAATGCTTGGACATAAATTGTATGCCTTAACATCAGCTGTTGTGTCTTGCGTTGTCAAGATGTTTCTGTATAGTTACATTTGGTGAGGAGGGGAAGGGGTGCGTCTCAGTTCTGTGTTTCCACATGTTTTTAAAGATTTTGTGAACTCAATTCACATTTTTTCCCATTCACTCAAGCTCACGTTTTTTGCTTGTGCAGTGATTCAGTAGCTGCAATATCTTGTTAACAGTAAGATCTAGGATAGTGGAAAATGCTACCTTGTAATGTAACTAAAAGCCATTGTTACTGGTATTTGGGAGAAGACTGACATTCACATTGAGGCATTATCAAATATTCCAGTATTTTTCATGAAAGCAGAATGGCAGTGTCTGAACATCAGATCTTGAAGGATGAGTAGTAGCCTTATAGAGAAAGACTGTGGGGTAGTGTGCTGGTTATTGAACAAAAAGACATTTTCTGCAGCAAAAAGAAAGCAATTGACAATGGCAAAACAGTAGTTCTAGATAGATAAAGGCAAAAAAAGGCAAAAATAATTTTTTACGAACACTTTTGTACTTTGGAAATATTTTTTTTTTCTGTAACATGGATAACATTGTATCCACACAGTTTTATTTATTTATTTATTTTAAATGGTAGATTTGTTGGCGTGTATTTTAGGTGTAGGTGTACATTTTTTTTACTGTTCTTTCATTTTCTTCATGTGTCAGGGGTGTTCTGACCTGAGTTCTCAGTGATTTTGAAAATTGCAGTTGTGTTCACGTGCCTTTGATTATTGGTACTGTTTGTAATAATTTATGGTATTTAGTAGCAATAGCAAAAATGTTTTTGTGATCACATTTGTAACTTTCATGAACTTACAGTAAACTCAAACATACCTCTGATGTTTTCAATCCTTTAAATGCTACATCATGAACAGTGGGTTTAGTTAGTTTGAGAATGTTTTCAGACTGATTTCTGAGGTAAATTTATACTTGTTGCTACTTAACAGTATAAATGCCTTGAAATTTATTATTAGGTTACTTGGTGAAGTAAATAATTAATTTCCTTTTCTTATAGAAGGGGATTTCTATAAATTTCTTCAAATGTTCTCATCCATTTATATTTTTTCTTAATAAGTGCAAAGACAACGTGTATTTAAATAAATTTTCCGTTGTGATGTGGTTTTCAGCATTTGCAAAATTAACATTTTTGTTTTGCAGAGATGCTTCTGGTTTATCATATTTGTTCCACTGGTTAAAGACACAGTCACCTCTGGGCCTTCAGTGCTTGCTATCACAATACTAATCAAGTTCATAATATTAATCTTGACATACCAACCTGTCAGTCTGGAAGGCAGTGATATTGTGTGGTGGTCTGTGCCTGTGCAAAATTCGAAGATAAGAACTTGATACTGCTACATTGGACATGCCTGTAGCACTCTTAAGATATAAATGAAATTGTCTCACATGATAAGCCTCCTAAAAAAGATATTTTTTTTTTTTCACAGTTCTGGACTATTTCCACTCCTTGCCAATGCCGCTATGTCTGTCAAGCCAACTTTATTGAGTCTGTATGAGATTTATTACCTCCCTTTGGGGAAAACATTGAAACCAGGACTCCAAGGACTCTTGACTGGGATTCTGCCTGGATTAGAGGAGGGGTCAGAGTATTATGAAAGGTAAGGATAGATATGTTAATAATGTGATATGCTTGATTTGGGGTTGTGGTGTTTGTGGTTATTTGTTGCAACTTTTCACTAAATACTTGTATATGAAGTTTTTTTAAGATAGGTGGTATTTAATTTCATCCAGCCATATTAATTGCAATGGAATAGTATGGTAGAAGATTTTTCACATTAATTATGATAAAGTACCTGTTTTGTTCCTGTTATTGAAAGGGAATTGACGTTAAGTAGACTTAGTGTTATATGTCAGTCTCTTTGGCCAAGTAGCAAGTGATAGGACGAGAGAAAACGGCCTCAAGTTGCACCAAGGGTGGTTTAGATTGGATATTAGGGGAAAATTTCTTCACTGAAAGAGTTGTCAAGCATTGGAACAGGCTGCCTAGGGAAGTGGTTGAGTCGCTGTCCCTGCAGGTGTTTAAAAGACGTGTAGATGTGGTGCTTAGGGACATGGTTTAGTGGTTGACTTGGCAGCATTAGGTCAACAATTGGACTCAATGATCTTAAGGGTCTTTTGCAACCTAAATGATTCTGTGATTCTCGTTATAGATTGAGATATGTAACGTGCTAGGAACATGCTACTACTTTCTTTTCCGTGGTTTTCCTCTAAGATAGTACTGCCATATTATTCCTGGTCTAAAATACATACCTTAACTGGATTTAAGATAACAAAGAAAGCTTCCATCATTAAGATTTACTCCTTATGATATCTAAATTGTTATTAAACCACCTATGTAAGAGGCAGCGATAATACACATATTTTATATGTTGTTACTCTGTTTCTAGCAGAGTGGCCTGAGAGGTAATAGCTCTTCTTATCCAGCAAGCCTAAGCCCCAATTTGAGTTATCCTGACTGTGATGTCTGGGGTGCTGGGGTAGAATCTTAGCATATTAAACAATGAAGTTACACTCCAAGGTTTTGAGTTATTGGAATTGTTCACACGCTTACATATTCCTGATATTTCCAACTTCAGAAGATGGAGTTTATACAACTTGTAAGAGCAATTTAACATTGTCTTGCCTTAGGGTGTAGAGGTGCTGCCAATAAGTGGGGAGAAATGAGGACAGGGGAAGGGATTGCTTGTGCTCAGAGAGTTGCTGTGGTGTTTTTATGCCTTGTTATTGCCAGAAGTGCTCAGTGCAAGGAAGGAGAGGGCAAAAGCCATTTGCTTGATTCTCTTCTTCGATAGCTATGTTTTCCACTTGTCTCTCTGCAACCTCTGTCTGTAGCAACAGTTGGCTTTAAGTAGCAGATAAGGAAGTTATTTGTTTCTTTGAACATAAGGAGGTACGTAAGAAGAAGCTGTGGGCAGGCAGAGGCATTTTGCAAGCCAGACTGGTCCACACACTTGCTAGTTGGATCACTCTGTTCGGACTGTGTTATAAGGTTCGGTGTATAATTGTGGCTTCTCTTGGCCTCTCAAAAGAAAGTTTTGACTTTCTTGTAATGATTTACTTAATATTTATTAAAACTGGGGGCAGGGGCAAGAGTTGTGATGCATGCCCCAATTCAGCTGGCTTGATTCTATTCTGCAGAACAAACACACTGTTGGAGAAGGTTGCCTCAGCTGTGGACCAGTCAGCATTCTACAGTGCTCTCTGGGGTAGCCTCCTCACAAGCCCTGCAGTTCGCTTGCCTGGCATCACCTATGTCCTCTCCCATTTGAACAGGAAGCTTTCAATGGAGGATCAACTCTACATAATTGGCAGTGACATAGAATTAATGGTAAGGTTTTGTTGGAACAGTGAAGACACTGGTGTTACTTATTTATGTAATAATATACTTCCGGAGAGTTTAAATGTCGTCTCTGTCATTGAACATAGCCTTTGAAGAGATAAAAGAAGAGATAAAAATGCACATTTATTTATTATAACTCCAGTTAACCTGGTGTTTTCGTGCATGATAACTGTTGCAAAGCTCAGTTAATGTTTCAGAACTGCTTAGGTTTTGTGTAAAATTTTCCGTTCATGACACACTTCAGTTAAAAGTGGTTGTGTTTTGTTGTATTTTTTGAAAAATATATAGAACATTATTTTGTTTTTTAAACTTAAGATATTCATTGGTAATATAAAAAAGCAAAAGCTTAATGTTTGTATAGTTCAGGTAATCTGTGTTGATTATATGTTTCCTCGGTAGTGAGACTTAATTTTCCTGTTTTATCTTGTTTCATTATTCAAAATTTTAAAATAACTTAATTTCATACATATCACTATTTATAAACAACTGTTCTTATTTGAGAGTGTTCTCTTTATCTACTTTCTTGAAATAATACAGTAAATAACTATTTTTGGGGGTCTGCCTTTACTTCAGGTGGAAGCAGTGAGCACATCAGTGCAAGATACCAGCGTTTTAGTACAGAGGAGCACGTTGGACCTTATCCTTTTTTGTTTTCCTTTCCACATGAGCCAGGTAGGTTATTAACACAAGAGAGATGAACTGAAAAACTTCTAAATGTACTCCACTTCTTAAGTCAGTAGCAGTATTTAGTCTGTCTTTGCTAATGATTTTCTCCAAGTTTGGACACGAGTCGTATGTAAGCTTTTCTCTAGAAGCTTTGACTATTCTCATGTTGTCATCTCTGCCCTTCTGCCTTTTAACTTAATGTTTAACTTTGAAGTTAACTTCAACTTCTGTATATCCAGCCCTAACCATTCTATGATTCTATATGCAAACCTAGTATAAATTATGACGTTTAGTCTGTGAAGAAGCTTTTAATTTGATTAGAAAACAGATTTTCTGTTCATGTGCAAGTTTCCGGTTCTCAACGTTTAAAAGCAGCAAAAGTTAATCCTCTTAACATAATGGATTCAGGACACTGGAGAATTGAAAATGGTTATTGTGTTTGAGCGAGTAGTTAGCCTTAGTAGTAGTGGGTGATAGACCTTACAACTTTTAGGGTTTTTTTTTTTGATTGCATTTGTTGTTAATCACTTTCTCTTTTTAAATGATCCGTGATTTATTTTGCTGCAGGAGGAAAACCTATACAAGGTTGATTCTCACCTTGTTAGAAATTGTGGGAAACCTGTGCTTCCTTGTAAAAACAACCATGTTCTTCCTTGTGGAAGTGATTTGTTCACATTTATCAGTTACTATAGGAATATTTGGAGTGTCTCTGTTTAGGTGCTAGAATGTTGAAATTGTCAATACAGCATTTTTTCTAATATTAAGACTTAAACATTGAAAATAGTAGGAGATTGAAAGATATCTAAAATTCTTCAGTGATTTTTTTTTTACGCTGGATTTTAGTGTAATTTGCTTCAAAAGCTTTTGCCTAATAAACAAAATGAAATGTCCCATAACAAAAATGGAGTCAAGTATTTTTGCTGATCATAAAGGGTGCATACTATTACAAGTATCTGTTCCAAATAATAATCATATTTTGGTTTCCTAAGAGGAAGGTTATGTTTTCTTGTACTACTCTGAATTCAGAAGTGTCAAAACATAAAATTGACTATGTTTTAGTGTACATTAAGCTGCTAGCATAGAAAATGTGTTACTTTTGATAGTTATATTTAATCATGTTTCTAACTTCTTCAGGCAACACGTCCAGATATGATCAGAATTTTGTCAGCAGCCCTTCATGTAGTACTGCGCAGGGATATGTCACTCAACCGAAGGCTTTACGCATGGCTTCTAGGTAGGTTCATATTTCATTTCATTGTTCACTAAAAGTGCAGAAAGGATCGTGTGTTCATTAGCAGTATTTTGCCATATAGCAGAGAAAGATTCTTGGAAAAATGCAGTACTTAATTTCTCCTCTATCTCTTTCCTTGGACAGAGAGGATGAAGAATGTCATGCTGGAACTCCTGCCTGTTATATAAATTATTGGTACATTTTCCTGTAGCAGCAATTATAGGCCACATTCAGGGATAGAGCCTGGTGCACTAGCCCTGCATAAATAGGCACTGAAAGGCAACTTTTGTCTCCCTAAATACATAAAACGGAAAAAACAGAGAACAGACATTATAGAGTGTAAGTGACAGTTGGAACACAACAGCATAGAAGGGATGAAAATAGAAGAATGTCGAAAAATGTTGATGTTGCATTAATGGAGGCTTGAGTATGCAAGCTTTAAGCTTCATTAGATATTTACATGCTTGAATTAACAAATCACCCATCACTTATGTTCTCCATGCAACTAGAAAATTATTTCAACACCTTTCTAGGGTAAAAGTTGATCAATGATAGGACACATGCTTTTACTTCTACCAAACGGCAAAATATCAATACTATACACATTTAATTTTTTATGTGAAATCAGCGTGTAATCAGAAGAGGGTAGCAGAGAATAATAGCTGTTTAGAAGACTAACTATTTAGGGAATATTTAGAAAACTAGAAATTGGAAAATTTTAGGAAGCACTCTTATTCAGCCGTGTTTTAAGGGAATGAAGCCTATGGTCACGTGAAACTGACCTGTTAGTCTTTAAAACTACTTTCAGCCCACTTTGAGAGAAGTCAGGATCTCTGACATGGGAGTTCCTGAGAGCGTCACAGAAACTGGAGATGGAATGAAGAGACTTAAAGTGGTTTCTCTACTTGAGGGGAAGACTGGTTTACCGTCTGCTGTTACCTTTTTTGTTTTGCTTCCCAGCTCACCAGCAAGCACGTATGTGCTTGTCAGGCTACCCAGAACCCTTCCCAGCAGCTCTTGCATCTTTCCCAGCTGATAGTTAAGACATCAGAGGCAGGTAGCCAGTGGTTGATTGGGGAGCAAGGAAGTAAGTTGTCAAGGAACATGAGGGAGAACTGAAGTTACAAAGGGAGGGATGAAGTCAGCAACAGTGTTTTGCATGTGGGGATTGGTTTTCTTGCTGTAGAAGTCGCATTTAGAAGACAAATATGGAAAGTCCTGGCTTCTGTAGTTAATCATTTCTCAAGACACCAAATTGCAAATTCCTCATCCTTTAAAGAAAGTCAGTGAAATGAACTGTCATGCTCCATACCTACATTTTCCAGTTTAGGGAAAAAGTAATTTCCAAATTAAACACTACACTAATGTTTCATCTAAATTCAATGGATTAGAGATGTCTTTTTGCTGACATTGAGAAACATATTTTATATATTTACAATATCATGCTGGTTTTTAGTTGTGGAACTTCTGCAACTATTTCATGAGCGTAGTCTCCACTGAAAGATGATATTACTTCAGAAGATAGTTTTACAGTGACTGTTCCTAGTTCCGTTCTGTGAACAGCCAGTGCCTCCATTTGCTATATATTTGGACAGACCTTCTTGCAGTGTAGCTTTTTTGCTTGTTTTTCTTTTGACACTATGCTGCTTTTATATTATCATGATATTCTACTCCTAATATAAAACATTGGAGGAGGGGAGTCAGTTATGTTGGAAGACTCTGATGTTCTGCTTGACATTATTTAATTCTAGTGTTAGCTATTCCTTCCTATTGTTTTATAGCTGGGAGTGGTCTATTAATGTTCTCTAGGCATAAAAATCACATTACATCTCTTTAAATACAGGTTAGCTTAACCATTGTTAACAGTGATTGGTTTAATTTGCTGCTAAAGGACATCCATTTTCTCAGGCTTTCCTTCTATTTTTGTCACTTCAGGACAAAAACTGTGGAAAATGCTTCTGTGGAGTGGGGTGGTATCCTGACTGACTTCTTGATCTATCTTTTTTTTTAATTTTTTTTTTCCTTTTAGCCCCTGTTGTTTTGGGTTTTTTTTGTAGAATAAAAAATTTTACTTGGTACAATATACAAACTTACAAAATAAGTCTTATCTATCTCCTTCATGTAATTTTGAATAACAGCGTTGATTTTCAGTAATATGACTGATATTTTCTCTAAGTACATTAGTCATGTCAGCATGTTGTTGGTGATCATCTCTTTGTATTTAAAATACTGAATTTTGTGTTCTTATAGTAATATTAATACTGAAATATTTTTGTGGGACATAGTGGAGTTGTTTTGAAGATACTTTAGGACTATGTGGTTTGTGCAGTGTTTGTGAACATTTCTTTTGCACAAGAATTAACTTGGTTAGTACTGTTGCATAAAACTGAAGTTTGTAATTTGTGTGCAAACTGCTTGCATGGAAGTATCATTTAGTTTCCTGTATTAAACTCTATGAAATCATCTTTCTCTTGCCAACATTACTTGGACTTCATCTTGGTAAGTTATCAGTGCTAGTGTGTTGATTTCTAGTTTAAAGAAATTGACAAAATAGTCTAAGAGACAAATACTTATTTACCTTGTCTTTTGTTTGCTTGAAGGTTTTGATAACAATGGTGCCCTTATAGGACCCAGAAGTACAAGGCACAGCAATCCCGAGGAGCATGCCACTTACTACTTCAACACCTTCTCTAAGGAGATGTTAGTCCAGGTAGCTGTACAATATTTTATTGTGGCATATATCTTCATGAACGGATGCTGATCAAAGTTGCTGTATCTTTATTTTTTGACTTGCTGTTTCAGTGCGATCATGTCATTGCTGTCTCTTTGTGGTATTGTGTCCAACTCTTCTAAAACCTCAGTGGAAAAATGAAGACATGGGCTAATGTGTTTCTTTAGAATAACAGTATGATCAGGACAAATATTGGGTTTCTATCTCTCCTCTTCCACAATGAATGTAACATGCATGGAAGATATTCGATTATGAGCCAAGCACACTGGAACCTGTTCTTTCAGAAAATGAAATTGGAGAATTCTCTTCTACTTCTGTAGATGTGGAAACTCCACTGTGTCTTGGGAATTTGAAAAATTTGATCAGATAGATAGTACTCAGAAGGTCTGAGTAAGAAGGGTTTTCCTCCTCTCTAAGCAAGAGGAACATCTTTTCTGCTGTCCATTGGCAGTCAGGAGAAGTTGAGTGAGTTGGCAATCATGCTGTTTCACTCTAAAAGCCTTGATAAGTGAGCTGAGATCACCTAGCTGCAAGAACTGTGCTCCTTCTCTCACTATAATTAAAGTATACAGATGTCTTTCAAGACTCTGAGGCTGATCTTGAAATCAGGAAGATATTTAATTATTAAGACAAATTGGTAAGGCTAGGATTTTTCTGATATTCAGTCAGAATTGTGGTGCTACATATGGAAATGAGAGCGGGGATTCCAGTATTAGTAGCTGACACAAGAATATTTAGCTCATCACAACTTAAAGCTGATATCCAGCTACCATGTTCAATTTCATCTGAAGGTAATGAAATCTGCTGGTTTACTGCTGAGGAAGAGACCTCACAATTCCAGTGCAGCAAGTACTCTCTCGCCCTTCTTTTGTCACGCTTCTGCCTCCGGTGGCAGATGATTCAGAAGTGTAGAGGAGAGGCCTGAATGAGAGAGTTTCGCACGTACCTTCTATACAAAATGTGAGGTTTTAGCAACATTTGGGAGTTTTGTTAATAGGTTGTGGTCTTCCTTTTAAATCTGTCCATCTTTTTAGCTTAATCAGTGTCATTAAAGTTTTTCTGTCTGAAAAAACTAACAACTGTGTAGAGTTGCTATAGTCTGTCTGTTTTTGTGGGTGGGTTTTGATTTTTTTTTTTTTTTTTTTTTTTGTGTTACTGTTGCAGTAGAATGGAAAGTGGCCATTTTTTATAACCGCAATAATTCGCTTGTTTCTTGCTTTAAAATTTTTTAAGGATATTAAAATCAGTAGCTTGCTTTACACAATACAAATTGCATATGCCTTCTAAAACCATTTGCTGTCTTTTGAGAGACTTGAAAAGCATTGCTCCTTTCTGCCTCTTCCCCAGCAGTCTCTTTATGTGTTCTTTTATCCAGTCCACTCCCATCTTATTCATTGATACAATGTACTGAAAATTCTGACCTTCTAAAAACATAATGAAGTACAAAAGATTTTTCTTTCAGGATACTGCTTGATAATACTTGGTTTATAGTAGGTAGCAAGGTTGAACCTGTTTTCCTCCCTCTCGTCTTTCCCATCTGTCTTGTCCTCCTGTTTTAGAAGCTGTAAAAGAAACAAACTAGTTCGACTCACGGAGAGAAACTAAGCAAAATCTGTGACGTTTTCATTGGGCTTTTTTTAATTCTGCAGCTCATTCTCTAAACTGCTTCACTATAGAAACTCAGTTTTCCCATTTGTTTTGAAGTTGTCAGTGCTATCTAGTCAACTTTGTGAAAAAAGTTTTCTGCCACATAGGTGGGTATATCCTAGCTGGACAGATTATTATTTATTAAGCCCTTTATATCTACATGCCTTACCTTCTCAAACAATTTCTTCATCTCCTTACGTCTTCTTTTTTATTCTAATGAAATTTTGAGTTGGTATCTGTTTATAATATTTTCTTTTGACTTGAAGTATATACAAGTTACCAAGTTCTGTTCCACAGAAATATTCTCATAGGCAAAGTTGATAGAATACTTAAGCATGGAGAGAAGGAGCTGCAGTGAGGTGAAATAATGGTCTCCACTACTGAAATTTTTCCCACTATATGCAGCATTTGTTGCATCTTTCTTTCGAAAACTGTTTTCTGGTTTTGTTTTTCTTTTCCTGACAAGTTTTTGCTCTGTGTAGGCAATGGTTGGAATATTACAAGTTAATGGGCACGGAGAAGAAAGCACATTAATGCAGGATTTAAAGCCTTTTCGAATTCTTATCAGTCTGCTGGATAAGCCTGAACTAGGTAATTCTCATATTACTTCTAGTCTTTAATTCATTTTACATGGTTTTGCTTTGAGAATTTTTCTCTCTTGTTGGTCAAATCAAAAAAAAAAAATAGTCCTAATGACAGTCTTAGTACTGGCAGGTTAGCTAGATTTCTTAAATCTTCCAAGCTAATAATTTAATGTATTCATTAGACTTACCTTTTATCAAATGCAATTTCTTGTACATAGGAAGCACTGAAAATAGTAAGTTAAAGTCATAGAGAGAACAGACTGCATTTTGGAAGAAATGCAGATTGAATCTTTTCCATTTCTTTAATGAAATAGGGACTTTCAGTATTTTAAATTTCAGATATTGCTTTTGGGAATAATCTTGGGATTATTTTTGCTTTTTGGGAATAATCGCTAATATACACAGAACAATGAGAGATATAAGAAAATAACTTTTTTTTTTCAGAAGAATTTATCCATAGGAAGGAATTTTTTTTTTGTTTTTTTTTGGTATTTTTTTAAGAATTTCCTTTCCCCTGATTGAAATGTTTAAATGTACTTCTTAGCAGGTGAGTGCAGAGGACTGTGGGACAAAAGTAGAGGCAAAAATATTTTACAATGATTTGCCTTCTTTTTTTCTTTTTTTGAATAACAGTTTTGAAGGTGACTGAAAAAATAAAAATAACTTTTGAAGTCTATCCTAAGATTTGGGGGTGGGATAATGAAAATGTAAAAATACAACAGTTAAAGAGTATAACTTGAAATAGTTAAGATAGACAGTAAAGAACAAAATATCTGACAAGAATTTGTCATCTTCCTGGTAATTCGTGATTTCTGGGGGTCAGTTTAAATTTTCGGAGGCAATGTGTACATTAAGATTTCACTAAGTAAGCAGAGCTGTGAGGATTCTTTCAGCAACTGAGATGGAAGAACCTAATAGGATTTCTACTTAACTCGGTGAGCGCACTCTCACTGAAGGCAGCTCAATGAGGCTACGAGAAGACATGAAAAAGCAAAGGACGTTTCAAGCAGGATCACTTTCTGAACTCCTTTCAAAATAAGGGAGTTTTTTCTTCAAACTCGGGATTTAGCTTGGATTTGAAGGAGGTGCTATTTCAAAAAGTATCCTGCAGACTATATCCGGAGTTAAAGAAACCTGCCTCAAATTAAAAGGAAGATGCTCAAAATATTTCACCTCATATTACAGAAGACGCTCAAAATATTTTATCTTGTATTTGCATTTAAATATTTGAGTATATTTTCCATATGATAACAGCATGAGCTAGCTTGTGGGTGTGTATTTGAAACTGTTTGGTAGAAAGCTACCTTTGATCAGGAATTCATGTAGTCACACTTGTTAAAGAAATTCTTTGTCCTAGGTTTCCTGCAGCGGAGTCTGACATCAGATTCCAGGTCAAAAAATAAATAATTTAATAGAGTGGTACAGCAATAGGAGCAGCAATTGAGCTGGGTGCCTCTGGAGAGGGATTTATACCCTTGAGGTCTATGTACCTGTTCTTCATGCACTGTTTACGTGCCTTGCACATGCCTGTTGTTCCAATGGTAATTTTTAATCTGGGATCTTCCTTGTTCCTTGTTGGATTCTTTCTCTGTCTCCAGGCAGGCTGTTAGCTGTTTATTTAGATGGGCTGTAGTTTCTGCTGATGGTTGTGGTCTCCTTACCTTCCAGCTTGCACTGGTCTCAGGGCCTCCCTTCATGTAACTAGGCAACAGTTCAAGATAAGTTCAGCTTTCCTAGGTGAAAGTTTGCAGCTTGTGGCCTAAAGCTGCAGCAAGTTTAGCTACTAATGCTAAACAAAGCTATTAATCCTAACAATTCTTAACAGAGCTAAGCAAGATTATTCAGACAATAGAATACAGTTAAAAGAATTTTACAGTTAAAAGAATCAGTTAACCAAACTTAATCTGCAACACATTTACATGTTACTAAGCTGAGCTAATAATCCCTCAAAGAGGATGTGTTGGCTTGAATATGGGCTCTACTGATGCGACTGCCTAGCTTTTGAACGAGGTGTGTTTGTGTCCAGCCACTGCTGTACACACCCTGTGTGGGCGAAGAACTCTGCTCGTGCTCTGTATACTCCCAGGTATTAAAATTGCCTGTGTGTTTCTGGAATGCAAAAAACCTTCTGAAATTGAGGTAGTTTACGAAATGGAACAGAAGGAATTCTAATGGTTTCAGCGGCCAAAGCTAGCTGATGTTTTGGATAGTTTTCAGATGTGGGCTGTTATATAGTGCGTAAGACTCTGATTGCTGGTATTTCCCCCTAGGCCCTGCCATCCTAGAGGATGTATTGATTGAAGTGTTTCGAACATTATACACACAGTGCAAAGCAGAACTGGAGCTTCAGGCAGAACCTTCTTTCAACAAAGATCACACACAGCTAAGCAGGTGAATAATGAGTGTAATGCATTTTGTATTAAATAATGTATCTTTTTGATGCTGAAACCATGTCTGTGAAGCCTGGGAGACTGTGACCTGGTTTCGTCATGTTACAGGATCCATTGACATTTCTTGCAACTTCTGCGTTCAATGAAAAGATCTGAAAGGCTATGGCTTTGTTATTTGGCTTTGTTATTGATTTTTAAAAAATATTTAGCATACATTTTACCCTTTATCCATGACAAAAAATACTTACATGGTACAGCTGGAAGTCAATATATCAATGGTGTAGATTAGTTGTGACATTCTTTACATTTGTGTTCTTTGGAGAAAAAAACCTAAACAATGGACTGATGAGCTTTCTTGTAGAGGAAAACTGAAGAGTGCTACAAGACAGCCAGAGAGGGAGATAAAAAGAGTCTCAAGATTTGAGTTTAGTATCTTAAAAGTTGGAGAAAAGAGGGAAGTTCAAAGCTTGGGGGGAGAAACAACTGTAGAATGATCATGGGAGAACAGATCTATTAAAAATATGGTTAGAAGACAAATAATAAAGAAAGGATAGAGAAGAAACCTGTCAACTGTGAAAAGATGGTGATACGAGGAGCCTGCCAATATACTGAGCCCTAGAGCAACAACCACTGTAGGGATAAGGGGAGGATAATTTCTCTGTTAACTGGCAGTGGGTAAACTCACAGTGGTCTGTAGTTACATAACTCGGAAGTTAAGTGTAAAAATATAAAATGTTCTTTTTATTTTCTTTCAGCAAACTGAGAGAAAACAAGAAAACAGCAGAATTGATTAAAACTGCCAATCTCCTCTTTAATTCCTTTGAGCCTTACTATATGTGGGATTACATTGCTCGTTGGTTTGAAGAATGTTGTAGGTAGGTTGTAATACTTAATGTCTGTCTGTGTACAGTTGAAGTTGACTTTTGTTTTATAAGCTTTTTTTTCCAAAGAAGTTAGGCTGATGTGATCATTTAGTAAGTCTTTTTCTTCCCCATTCCTTTAACTTTGATCTTTTGATGAATTTCAGTCAGATGTGATTGGTGATCTCAGCAGTGTGAGCTCACAAACTCTGTGTCTAGGTAAAATCAAGAGACAGAAGTAGCACCTCTGCTGAAGGGAAGACTCCAGTGTGATCTCAAAGCTATTTGTTTTGTTCTCTCTGTTCAGTACAGGATTACTCACTGGATACCTAGCAAACCAGTCAGCTTTACCAAGAGTGACTTGTGCAATGTGTTATCTTTTGCCTTGCACATTTAGAGAAGAAAAATTGTGGTAGTCCTGTACCTGGCAAGGAGGGCTACGGGAGGGAACACCGTAAATAAGGGAGAACCAAAAATATTAACAGGAGAGAGGAGGACCAAGGGACCTCAGGAGAGCAGGGATTGCTGTGGCAAGGGATAGATAATGTAAGGATTTCAAATGAAATTTGTAGAAAAAAATATTTTATTGCTTATGGAATAACTTAGTAATATATTAAGGTATTTGAACACTAAGTTGTCTAGGAGTCGACAGTGCTGTCGTAAGTAAAGAAAACTGTGTCTTGGGCTACATCAGGGGGAGCGTGGTAAGCAGGTGAAAGGAAGTTATTTCTTCTTTCACTTAGTGTTTCTAAGGTCACATGTGGAATATCGTGTCCAGCTTTGGGCACCCTGGTTGAGGAGGAGTGTTGAGAAACTGAAGAGGCTCTAGTAGAGGACTGCTAAGATGGTCAGAGTCATAGGACACTGCATGGGAGGCTGAGGTAGATGAGTTTGGTTTAGCCTGGCAGAGTGAACTGAAATAGCAGCCTATGACTTCCTGAAGGATATTTACAAAGTTGATACAGCCACACTTTCAGTAGCTGCTGATGGTAAAACAAGGGGCAGCAACAACAAATGTTGGCTCAGAGGTTCATGTTGAACTTTCAGAAAAGCTTTGCTGGGAACATAGTGCAGCAGTGGAACAGGTTACCCAGGAAGGCTGTGGAGCTTGCTTGGGAGATTTCCAGGACTCTGCTAGACAAAAGTGTGGATGCATTTATCTAGCATTGTTAGCAGTCCTGCTCAGCATGAAAGGCTGAACTCGATGAAATCCCTTCCATTATGTCTATCACGTAATTTTTGTGTATTGGACTGAATTGCTAAAGAAAGCAGTCTGCAACCAACTAACAAGCAGGAGAGAATTTCTCTACATGTAAGTAGGTGTTACTATAAGCATGGGTACCAGATTGCCTTGTAATAAATAAATGGACTCTGGATAATGGGTTTAGTGTTGTGTTTTTTTTTCCTATATGAGCTGCTGTGCTATGTAAGTTATTGTCTTCCTGTTAGAAAACATAACACCATTAAGTGAAAACACAACCAGTTGGTTTTAAACTGTGACTTTGTAAGTTATCTTATATAATCTAGTCTGATGGATAAATCACAGTTATTACTTTTAGAGCAATTTAAATATCCCTCTGAATTTGTCTTAGGCTTTTTCTTATTATTTTCCCCCACTAAAAATTAAAAATAGGGTTTCTTGTATCTAGTGTTTTCTCCCATCTAAGTATTGCTCACTGCTGTTGAGCCTTCTCGCAAAGCTATTTTTGATAAGCGGCTCAGTGAGTTGAATTCAAGTCATCCTTTATGAGGTATTACAGTTGAACAAATCTGTGAGTAATTTATGAAATGGTAGATCTTTCTGGGTAGGAGTACAGAGTGTGAAAAAGAATTTGTGTTATGACTTACAGAAAGGGACCATTTACTGAACTGTAAAAGAGGCTACTGGTTTTATGAAGATAATTATCTGTTGTTAGAGAGATGTACTGACCCAATGGAGGTGTGGGTTAAGTAGAGCACTACTTTTCAAACTTAGGTTACTGACAGAATGTCAGAAAGAAAATATGATTTTGAAAATCTTTTGATAAATACTTACTGTTTCAGACTTGGTTTCTGTAATGCTTCTCTTATTTCAAATAAATCCTTTTCTGAGTCATGGCATATACGTTCATGAACCCTTCCAAAACAGACGGAAAGGATTTCCTTAACTGACTTTGCTGAAAATGGGACACTGCCCTCACCATCACCCCAGCACAATAAATGAGTTGAAGAAATAAAATATTATTCCTTTGTTCATATCCTTTGTTTATAATATTGTCAGATTGCAGCATGGTTTCACAGGAGATTTATGTTCTGTCTTACTGCACTCAGCAATAAAACCAGATTATGAATTCTTGTCAATAGTAAAATAATGTGGTCAGCTGAAGCGGACATTTAGAAGAGCTTTTGTTTTCTTCTTGCACAGCTTTAAAGTTTAATGGACCTTTTATTTCACTTTGAGTTGTCTTTATTTCAAGTGCTTAATGCCTTGGGTTTAGATCTCTTCAAAATTACTGTGCTTCTGGTAACACTATCGCTTAATTCTATTTTTGGTGGCCATGCTCATACTAGAAATTATTACTGTATGTGATGGAGTCATAAATGCAATTTTCTGTAGCCTGAATTTCCTTATTTTATGAATGGAGACTGGTTTACAGTGAAAGGCTGGTTGCTGCTTTTTCTAAAAGTGTGCAGTGGGGTCAAAAGAGCTACTTAAACAAATAAGTAATATTTCATTTTATTGTTATAAGGATTATCCCTGATGAGTTCAGCTTTGCATTAAGTTACAGAAACACAGTCAATGTAAGGGGAAGGGAAAAATGTCGTGAAACACTATTTGTATTTTGCAGGAGGACATTACATGCCAGACTTCAAACTGGGCCTGGAAGTGGTAGTGAGCAATCTGAATTACCCCTGACAAATTTCTGCTTGTTAGTGGATTTTCTGTTGGATATAGTTTCTTTGGTAAGAATTGCTTTATTCATTGCTAATACTGAGATTTTTGTATATTTGTACTCTAAAGAAATACTGTATCTGCTTTATTAATTGTTTTTCCTGAAAATATATTGCCATAAATTGGTGGACACTTTTAGAAGATGTTTTGGTTTCATTGTATAATTCTTGATAGACTGATTATCGGATATAACCAAAGTGGTTTTTTGTGATGCTTATACTTGAAAATTTTTGTCTGTCCTGTATTTCTTTTCTCTAAAACTACACTGTATTTGTTACAAATATGGTCTTTTGTAGTTCGATATGCAAGTTTAGGTGTCCATCTTTCTTTTAAGGCTCTTTTAAATGTCACGATAAGATGTATCTTCTTTTTCTATTGGCAATGCTTAGTGTAGCAAAGACTGTTGGAACTGTTTTTTCTATACCTGTCTTTCCTCAATTCTTTGCTTTCTCATTTCAAAGCCTACTAGAAGTATGAGAGTGCTGTGTCAGGTATGGCAATCAGCCTGTTTTCCATTTAGTTCTTAACTTGTTTATCTTTAATTCTTAAATTTCTATGTTAAGGTTATTAAAATAATAGTAGTAGCATTTTTTAGCCTTGATGTTGTGTTTCGTAATGTGTTTGCTGTGTAATAAGCAAGATGTAAACATCTGAGAAAGAGCTATATATATATTTATATTTATTGGTTACCCAACTCTAAAGTTAATTTTGTACGTTTTTTTAAGTGAAGCATGTGTTTCTTATTCTTGGATATTAAGATTTTAATTTTCCTTTTTCCATGCTTTATATGTTTAGAACACAGTTAAGCAAATGATAAAGTACGACTGTTATAGAAAATAACTTACAAGGTGGAATTTGTGTTACAATTAATGAAGTTTTACTATTACTTTGTTAGGAGACTTACATCGAAATACAGACAGAACACTTGCCTCAGCTGTTGCTCAGGATGATTTCTGCATTGACAAGCCACCTTCATACTTTGCACTTGTCTGAGCTTACTGATTCTCTCAGGCTCTGCTCGAAGATCCTTAGTAAGGTTCAACCTCCATTGCTATCTGCTGGTACAGATGGTATCCTGCAGCTTCCAAGTGGACACAGCAGCTCCATCAAAGAATGGGAAAATAAAAAGGTAACTGATTATGTTGTGCAGCATCTTGGAAAAATACTTTGTGTGGAAAGGAAAAGTGGACTTTCTAAGCCTGTGCTGAACCACCTACAAGACTTTCATTAAATTTAGTTTAATATACAATACATGTGAAACTTGAATCATCAAAAGAAACTATAATTGCGCACTTCATTATGGTAAAAGGTCTTGATTCTTAAGCAGTTTTATCTAGTTATTCAGATTTTCAGGTTATGCTCAAATTCTGGAATGGCTAGTGATTAGGATGTCAGACAGCAAGACAGCTTCTGGGCCTGTTAGATCTTAGGCAACATCTGCCATCACCGCTAAGAAGGCTAGATGAGAAATATGTGGGCATGTTTTTCACCTGCATTTACTCCCACTGGTCCATGCATTTCTGTTTAAGTCACATTTCACCTCACATTCTCACCAGGAAGCAGAGACTGTGCTACCAATTACCAACAAGATTATAGGGGGTTAGAGCAGCCCAAAAAGCTGCAATGGGTTCTTTTTGGAGTAGAAATCATTCATCAGATTTTTTGTGTATTCTGAACTGATGAGGAATTAAGGCACACAATGACTTGTGAAGAACTATTGTTGCTGGAGCAACATTTCTTTCTTATTTCTAGGAGGTGATATTTTTTGTTGTTGTTGCAAATGGTTAGTAGTTTTTAAATTAGAGTTTATTTCTTCTTTTATAATTATAAAACTTTTGTATTTGAAAGAAATCCCCAACTTCCAAATCTCTGGATTATTATATAAAAAGATGCTAGTTAGTTAAAGTTGTACCATATATATATCTATGAATTAAAGATTCCAGCCACATTTAATAGACAATTTTTTAAGTGAAAGAGCATAAATTTTAATGAGAAATTGAGCTGGCTTTGTTAATATAAATGTGGAAGTGGGAAAAATGGTTTTTAGATATGAAAGATTTTATTCTTCATTTACAGCTCCACAGTTCACTTGTTTAAGGTGCTTTGACAACTTATAGTTGTAATATTAAATGACACTGATCCTGCCTTCCTAATGAGACAAAACTTTAATTGTCGTGGTTCTTCTATCAGTAGTATATCTAAACAGTTATTAGGTTAAAATAATTTAATATCTAATGTGATTATTTACGTGTGCACTAGGAACTTCAAAAGCACAATCAGAGAAACACATACTTTTTCCTACTCACTCAAGTCTCCCTGTTCTTCTTGGCTGACATCTCCTTTTTGTCTCCTTTGCCTGCAGGCATTTTTTACTCCTTTATGACTGCAGCAGTTTCTGATTAATGGATAAATATCTTGTCCTGCTGTAGAACATACTAAAATCTAAAGTATTAAAAGAATCTTCCTACCTAAAGTGACCATAAGCAACGTAGCTCAATGTTCTGCTTCCTGCTGGAAGTAAGGGGGTTTTTCATGTATGAATATCTTGGTTTATGATGCTGTATAAATTAATAATACCTGTGCCTGTGCATTTCAGCATTCTTTCAATAAAAACAGACAGTATTATGATATGAAGAAACTGTTAAAAACAACAATATCTAAAGTATTTTACTTGATAAACAATGCTTTTTATTTTTTATAATTAACTCGGTCTGGCAAGCTTACTGAAACACCAAACATTATTTTGCATCAAGTGTATCTATATGAATAGATTTAGAATCATAGAATGGTTAGGGTTGGAAGGGACCTCAAAGATCATCCAGTTCCAACCCCCCTACCATGGGCAGGGACACCCTCCACTACACCAGGTTGCCCAAAGCCACATCCAACGTGGCCTTGAACACCTCCAGGGATGGGGCATCTACAGCTTCTCTGGGCAACTTGTTCCAGTGCCTCACCACCCTCAATGTAAAAAATTTCTTCCTTATATCTAATCTAAATCTGCCCTTTTTCAGTTTAAATCCATTGCCCCTTGTCCTATCACTACACACCCTTGTAAAAAGTCCCTCTCCAGCTTTCCTGTAGGCCCCCTTTAGGTACTGGAAAGCTGCAATAAGATCACCCCGGAGCCTTCTTTTCTCCAGGCTGAACAGCCCCAACTCTCTCAGCCTGTCTTCATAGCAGAGGTGTTCCACCTCTCTGATCATCTTCGTGGCCCTCCTCTGGACTCGCTCCAGCAGCTCCATGTCCTTCTTGTGTTGGGAAGAAGGAAAAAAAAAACCTGTGGAATAAAATTGTTGCTTTCAATTGGAGCGGCAAATAAATGTTTTCTCACTAGGACCTAAATAACCCATTTTGAACAGTCATTAATCTTTTATTTCACTCAGGTCCCATCAGTTTCACTTGAAAATCCTAATGATGTGTTTGAAGATGGTGAAAATCCTCCAAGCAGTCGATCATCAGAAAGTGGATTCACCGAGTTTGTACAATACCAGGCAGATACAGCTGATGACATTGACAGAGCACTGAATGAAGGTCACGGTGCACCTAGCATTCCTATTATTGGTAGCACATCCTCAGAGACTGAGACAGCATCAACTGTGGGATCTGAGGAAACCATTGTACAGCCTCCTTCCATAATGACACAAGGGACAGCAGTTCGAAGTGGGAAAACAATCCAAAAGACTGCAATGCAGTGCTGTTTGGAGTACGTCCAACAGTTTTTAACCAGATTTATCAACCTGTATATTATTCAGAGTAATTCCTCGTCTCAGCCCTTAGGGGCAGAGGTTCCAGTAGACCTCACTAGAGAGCAAGTACAGACTGCAAAATGGGACAGAGAATCACAAGTTGATGCTAAGGTGAAGAAAACAAACAAGAAAAAACCACCGAAAGAATACCTTCCTGCCTTTATTGCTGCTTGTCAGCTGTATCTTGAATGTTCAAGCTTTCCCATTTACATTGCTGAAGGAAACCGCACTTCGGAATTACATCCTGGGAAGCCTGAAGTTGGTAAGCTGCACTGTTCTGTGTTCTTTGCTTTTAAAATATTTATTTTTTTATATAAAAAAAAAAGTAATAGTATTTATGCTTTGTGTGTGTAGCTGTTTGCAGTTCCTCTCAGAAATGTAAGTTTCCTTCTGTATCAATTGTTTTGCTTTTTGGAAACTAAACTATTTTCTCTTAGATTTTAAGAATATTGCTGGCATGATATTTGACACTAACTAATATTGGGGTGACAAATACAAATTATGCAAACTGAAGCCTGAGAGTAGAATCTAGATTTTCAGATGTTCCTCTTTTCTGTGTGGATCCACAATATTTTCTTTGTCATATTTTGTAATAGCCACAGCTGACTTCGAGTATGTTTTTATCTTGATTTTAGCAATTTTAGGTTGATGTGCACATTGATCACTTTGTACAATGCATGGTAATTATAACCTTCTGTCCAATAAAAATCATACCAGATAAGAAATTAATTCATTTTACTTTGCTCCTATTAAAGGAACAGTTCTTGCAAACAATTCTTCTAGCTACAGTTGCATTAGAAAACAAAATAAAAACGATGGGTTTTGTGAAGTGTCAAGGTGTTCACAGATAGGTGAACACATTCGTATACGGCTACAGAAATGTGATTAAAACGTTGACAGTTCTGGGTAACTGTAAAATGAGACATTTTAGATGGAAAATCCTCTTTGCAGTTCGTAAATTCTTCAATTTACAGTTCTAATTTTGGTTCCACTTCTGATCTGTAGCTTTAGAGGTACTGCCTTAAAATGGTATCATGCTGGATATGCTGGAGGCATGCAAGAAATAGTTACAATAATTTTGGCCACTGTCACGGTCATCTTCTGTGGCTTTATTTTTTCTAGGAAGCTTCATGGTTGCAGCTTTTTGTTCTTTCAAAATCTCTTAAAGGCTAAGCGGTGGGCACTGCTTGGAGATGAATAGTTTTTTGGCTTTTGGAAACAAGCATGTTAATATGACATGACTGCTTCTTCTATTCCCGTAGAATAGATGTCGTCTTTAAGATGTGTTGTGTGTGTCTTTGTCGTGCAGCCAGGAGCACAGCATATCTTTGTCTTTGTGAGGTCCAGACATACCAAATATTTGTCAGTTGAAGACACCTTGGTTACAGCTGTTTGTTAAGTAAAGGTATTGCAATGCTTAAGGGCTGCTACCTTTTGTAAAAGATCTAGCACAGGACATTTGTGCTTCTATAGCATGACCCTGAAAAATGTGACGGTGGTGTTTATTTTCTTTTTCCAAACACTAGCAGCCTACACAGGAGTGTTGTGGCAGAAGCCTAAAAATATTTTTAAAATCTGCTGTTCGCTTATTACTTTTCTGTGGATGTAACACTTTTGATTGTCGCTGCCTTGTAAACTCTAAAGCAGAAAGACTCTAGAGCTTGAGTGATGTGCCTTGTATGAAGGCAGTGATTCTATGAATCTTTTCACTTCAATTAAATGTCTTGGATTTGCGTTTCTTGGTCATCATCTGAACTTTCCCATTTGTGATGTTGCATTTGCATTCTATTAAACAGTGTGGCTTTGAGGAATACGCATAAATTGTAGGTGGCTGAAATCAACAGGAAGGATTTTGTTTCAAATGTAAACATCTGTTGTACAGAATGGCAGAGCAGAAGGGAATAGCAATGGCAGTGGGGCTGCATAGCTGTCCCGGGAGTCCTGCTTCCCGGAACAGAGAATACTGGTGGAACAGAGAATGAAGAATGGGAGAAGGTAGTTACCATAATTTGCACACCTGCCTTTTCTTCATCTATTGATACATTTTTCTACTGCGGAAGAGACTAGTTCTGTTGAAGCATTCCTAAATTTGGAACATGCTTTTGATGGGTTGCATTAGTGATGTGACCCAATTGCCTTTAATCAACGGTGATATTCATTAGTCTGTTTATTTGAAGGAGCCAAATTAATCTGATATTAATAGAAAATTAATTGTGCTTAAATTTTGCTGTATGCTTAATTTCATATATAAATGTGTGCTATTTTTCATTGAAGCAGTTAAAAAGGGAACTGAGTCAAGCCCAGAAGAATGTTTATATCTGTAAACTGTAGAACATTATGTGGAATTGTTAGGTATATTTAGGCTCCAATTTACACTGCAAAAATTAACAATTGTGGATATAAATTAGAAATTAAATCTTCCTTAATTCTGAATAGATGCTGTATTAGTGCCTATTAGATAACACTTCTTCACTGTGTTTGATTCTAGAAAACGTTTGCCTGTTTTAAGAATATGATCAATAGAGTCATTTTGAAGTTTTAAGAAAAATTACTTTGATGCCTCTAGAATAAAAAGGTGCATTATTCACTTGGAGAGCTGACTGGGCTTCAGAGAAAGACACTTGCATTATCAGGCCAGCGTATGATATTAAATGAGGGAATGGTAAGAAGGAGAAAACAACTGCCTATAGTGAAAGCAGAGTATGATCTAGTAAGATCAAGTTTCTGCCACCCAAAACATCAGTTTTCAAATACTTTTAAAGTGTTGCCAGGAAAATCTCTTTCTCTTTTTTTTTTTGTCAGTTTAAAGTTAGTTTTTACATATATATATATATATACACACACACGCGTAAAGAAATATAAATGTATATAAATGCATATGTGTAAATAATTACATATGATAATATAGATCATATCATATAAAAATATATGTGTGTGTAAATAATAGCATATTATAATATATATCATATAGCATATCAATATATGTGTAAATAATTACATATTATATATCATAAGATATATTAAAAACATATTAATTGTTATATATATAAAACACTACAGAATTATTCCAGACTGCAAACTGCAATGTTGAGACTTGATTCCTGGTCACCAATTTCTTGAAGGAGGAAAGTCAATGTGCAAACTACTAAAAGTCTAGTTTTGTCTAAAACACAAAATCGTGTGGATGCAATTCCATAAGATTTATTTTTCTCATTCTTGTTGAAATTTTCCTATTTATTTTTGGTTACTAAATATTTGAAGTGATACAATATTGAATTCTTAGTTAGATTATTTTAAAGATAGAGCTACATGAAGAAGTATCTCTCTGCTGCATACACTTTCCTAAACCCATACAATAGGCAGGTTGAAATATGAATGATAAAGGACAATTGTACATGTAGTTATATGTACAATCTGTAAGAGGAAATATTCATAACATTTAAAATTGTTAAATGAATGTATCACCCGTGATTTTTATTTCAGACTGTGAACAAGTACAACCTCCTCTGTGGCTGCAGACTTTAATGAATGCTTGCAAGCAAGGAAGCAATTTCAGTGTTCAGGGAGTTACTATTTCCCTTGTGATGGACTTGGTTGGATTGACTCAGTCTGTTGCTCTCGTCACTGGAGAAAATCCGAACAGTGTGGAAACTGCTCAGCCTCTCAGCCCTAACCAGGGAAGAGTGGCTGTGGTCATCAGACCTCCTCTTACTCAAGGCAATTTGAGATATATGGCTGAAAAGACAGATTTCTTCAAGGTACAATGCACTATCTCTTTCCTGTTTTCTTGAGACTTCTTTTCCTGGCTGGTGAAGACTGACAGTCTTGGTCACTTTGCCATCCTTGGTATGGTTAAACCAAATTTTCTTGCTGAGTATTTTGCTAACAGTTGTAATCTGTGTTAGATTCTAAATCGGAATACATAGTAAGTTTTCCCACTGTGATTGTCTTACTGACTGTTTGGGTGAAAATTCTAGTTTGAATGAATATTTTTAAAATATAAATAAAACTTGATTGAATAGCGTCATTAATAAGCAAAGATATGAAACTGAGAAATGTGTAATGCAGGACTCTGGTAAACCACAATCTCTGCATTTGTGTAATTTATGTAAGAAATTATGTACAAAAGATAATCAGCAGCAGGGTATATAACGTAGTTAATTATATTTCAATGACAATTTACTTCTGGAAATGTCTGTGAGTTCTGACTCCTAACAGGAATTTTTATGTAGTAAGTTATTGTAGCATTTCAAACAGTTCTTTATCTTCATACGAACAAAAAATGAACAGTTTTATAGATTGCCTGTTGGTCATACGGTGTCATCAGGTATAATGTCTCCCATCATTGTGTAGCGTTCAACGTAGTCTAGAGCAAAACAAGGCGTGATACTCATTCACTTGTGTCTTTTCCAACTTTTATTTTCATGTACAAAGCATATAGCTTTAACTCTTTGGGACCAGCTGGGTGATGGAACTCCTCAGCATCATCAAAAGAGTGTGGAGCTCTTCTACCAGCTGCACAACCTTGTTCCCTCTTCCAGCATTTGTGAAGATGTTATTAGTCAGCAGCTGACTCACAGAGACAAGGCAAGTTGTTCATATGTTTACTAAAAGATAAGTATATAGCTATAGAAATATATTTAGAAGAAGGACTCAGTGCCTCAGAGGAGTGCATAAATAACTTCAATAGTGGAAAAATTGTTGCCTTACATTGATTGTTTCTAACATGAAAAATACTCTTATCGTTTACTTGCGTGCAGAACATCAGATTCGTCCACCCTCTGACACTGCCACCCTCTTTCCTATATTCCTACTCACAAGAAACCTTAACCTTATGTCTGTAGTTGTTGAACCCTGTTTTCATGACATTTTGGTGTTTCACAAACCTATGAAAGGTGTTCATAACAGTAGTAATTGAATATAGATTTTCTGGATTCCATTCCAGTTGTCCTAACCATTCTTCTTTCCCTGTACAGCTCCATCAAATTTAAGCACGCTTTCTTTTGCTGTGTCCTAACCAACTGTAATTCAGTCCTCTGGTGTGCTCCCTCTTATTTCATCGAATTCTTGCATCTTGTCTAATAATTTATCCTAATATAACATCTAGACTTTCTGCTTCCTTTCCTCCACAGAACTTGGAGAAGGAGCAACAGCCAGGATATTGTCATCGCCCTGTCTCTGTTGTTTTTTTTTATAGTGGGGTTGGATTGCTTCTTTCTTAAGACAGTCATGAGTGGTACCCTTTATCTTTCTATCCTTTTGCTTTCTGTTTTCTCTCTCCCTCAGCTGAGGTGTCCTTACTGCCTTTCTCTGTGTCACTGCCTTCTTTTTACGGTTTGAGATCTGTTTTCAGTTCCTTTCCCTTTCTGTGAGACACATCCTTATGAATCTGCTGTGTTTGATATTATTAACTTCCTGCTTCAGCCTTAATTCCATTTCTCTTTTAAGCAGCAGTGATTTGAGGGGGTTTTTTTTGGCTTTCTGACCATTTTTATGTATTATCTGATTCTGTCTCTTTTTGTAAGAGTTAATGTAAATATAAGACAAAAGAGCAGCTTGTAATTATTAAGATTTTATTTTATTTCCAGGTCCCGAGTGCTGTGATGTGTATTTCTGAGCTCCCTCTTCTGACACTTGTCTCATTATTTCCAGCTACAGTGTTTCTGTGAAATTGTTTTCCCCTGTTGGGAAGCTGAGGAATTGCAATAACTAGATACTTTCAGTGAAGAGGCTTCTGTACAATTCTCCAATCTCATGCAGCCCTTCTCTACTCTGGTTATTCGTTCTTAAAAGATTTGAATTCTGACTGTTTGCCAATTCTAGAGGGCAATTAATAAGCTGTTCTAACAGTAATTGCCAGTTTTCTGTGCATCTGTGTGTTTGAGAAGCGTGCTTGCCTGCTCGCCTCTGACTGACATGGCAGCTGGGTTGTGAGTTGTCTGTGCATTGCTTTGCAGTATGCTGCTGAGACTGCTCTTTTTTTGAAGGTCTTTACTTTCTGTCTTTGTCTTATGTCAAAAGCCATGGGCGTTTGAACAGAACCTCTCCCGTGATCAGAGAGCTACTTTGCCTCTGGTAACAGAGGTTTCTTGTTATTACTTTGTTGCTTGTCCTGTCTCCTGTTCTGCTACCACAGGTTATAATGTTTGCTCATGACCCAACTTGGTGGGTTTCTCCCATTCCTTATTGCTACTCAAAGGTCTTATCTCATTGCTGGCTGTCTTTCAGAAGTGATCTCGGCTATCCTATTGGTTACCTCTGTTTTGCCATCAGTTTAGCTAATGCAAGTACAGTAGTATTTTCAAAATCTTTTGAAGCTTGCAGATGTTCAGATTGTTGACAAACAGTGTTTCTTTTAGGTCTGTGATGAGCCTGTGTAGTTTCATGCTAGACAAAGGAGGCTTTTCAGCGTTCAGCAACAGACTTATGTAGGAGGCTTTATCTCTTATCAAAAGTTATGCTCTGCTTCCCAATATATAAAGCACATGCTTTACTATTGTTAGCAGGAGTTCTACTTGTCATGACAGGTACTCTATCTTTTCTTTTTTTTCTCTCTCCTAGAAATTTATTTCAGGTAGAGGCTGTCGATTTGACATTTGAGTTGATACCTTTGTAGTGCTTTAAATCTTAGATATAGGAACTGTTTTCACAGCCCCAACAGAATGAATGATACTTGCCTACATGCTCTGGTAACTTATGGTTGTGTGACTTCAGAAGCAGTTACCTTTTTGACTTTCTACCAGAGTAACCAGGTCAATAAAAGTGAATGTGAGCCAGTCTGTCAATCGCTGCAGTTCACAGCTTGGCACGTTGATAAAACTGTCAATGATTTATAGTTTCACTTATTAGCCTGATCTGTGAACTGCTGTGACTGTGGATGTGGCACTCACTCATTTCTGCCAACCTTACTGTGAAAACAGTAATTTCTTACATCTTCCCAGCATGGATTGCAAGGGCTTACATGGAGACATCTGTATGTGTTTGAGAATTGGTATTTTTACTCTGTGTTCAGCAGATGTTAGTGAATTGTTTTGTATAACTGTGTGTATTTTGCAGCAGTGTTGTGTTGTTGGCTTTTTTTTTTTACTGTGAGAAGCATATTTTTTCTAAATACATGTGATGCTTGCTTTACTTTCCAGAATGCTGCATTTTCTCTTGGTTTGGTTTATTTTTTTTTTGTTTGCCTCTGACGTGACCTGTCTTGTGTCCTTTCTGTAATTTTCAAGTTTCATAACTTAAAATTTTCATTATTGTAGCAGATATTGGTTGCATTAGCTGTTGCAAAGCTTCTTGAGCTGTATTTTGTAAATTAAGTCGGGAATTATGCCAGATTGTCACAGTGGCATTAAAAGTTTTTGGTTTGGTCTCATTTTTATTGGAGGTAAATATACCTAATGTTCATTCCCTATAAGCACATATTTTGAAAACAAACAAGTGAAAAAACTTTGTCCTCTTGTCTCTGCTTATTGTCTAGGAATTTAGTTTAAGTCCTGGTTGTGTTTGAAAGTATATATTTTATATATTTTTATATATTTTATATAAAGTATACTTTATTCAGTATAACCATCCTGATTGCTGTGCTTTGCTCACCCCTACAACTGCTCAGTAGCTTCCTTGTCTCTTGGGTGAAGCTGTTTTTAATAGATGTACCCATGTATCCGTATCATAGCATGGCATTACTATTGTTTACAGCCTTGCTGGAGTAACTCTTTGCCTTGAGCAGCTACAATAGAGAGATAAAGGCATGAAAATTGTTACTTTAATACCATTTTCATCATTAAATATTCTGCATATTATTAGCAGTCATTAGAAGTCATTTGAACAGTAAGCATGCCCTATTTGTCCAAATAAAACTCTACATTCCAGGCAAAGTTTGGCATGTTAGTGTTGAACTCTACATCATATGTAGCTAGAGAATTCTTATGTCTCTTTCTAGCCAGCTTATTTTCATTCCCTTATTTCCATGGATACTGTGTTTGGTCCCATCATTCTAGACACTATCTCTAAAAATTTCTCTGCTCTACCTCTTCTCTCCCTCTGTATGCTTGCGTTTTCATGTTGAAAAGCTTGCATGTTTCTTCTTGCTCTCTTCATTATCTCTTTTAGGGCCTTGATACATATGAATAAATTCACTGAAAAGAGAGGTGTGCAACTTGTGAGAGTAAAATAAGTGTTGTTCAAACTATCACATTAAGTAGTTAAAACTTTTTCAAGATAAACTTTGAAACTAAGACAGCCAAGATCAAGATGGAGAAGAATCATTTCATGTTACTAAATTGTTCAGAGACCTATTGTTGCATGTTACTGTTTTTAATGTTAGAAAGTAAGATTTGAACGCATAGTCAAAAAAGTTAATTTTAGTATTTCCATTATATCTTGTTAAGCTGCTGTATACCTCTTTTTCTTTTTCCACTTCTTGTCAGAGGCTGTGATATTCTGATAAATCTAACTTATAATTTGATTCACAGAAAGTAAGAATGGAAGCTCATGCAAAGTTTGCAGTACTATGGCATCTCACCCGTGATCTTCATATTAACAAGTCGTCTTCCTTTGGCCGTACCTTTGACAGGTTGGTGATTGCTAGCATGATTCAGTTTAAAAAATTTTGCTTCTAAATCTTTAGCTATGTTATACTGGTAGCATAGAGTGTTTAGAAATTGGAGAACTATAATGTAACTGTGAGAGTGAGGAAGGAGGACAAGAAATGAATTCATGTTAGACAAAAATTGTTTTCCCAATGTCAATTATGTAAGCTGTAATTTTTTCTGGTAGCTGTAAAGAGTAGGACAGGATTGGTCACCTGATTCATTGATTTTCACTGTGGGTAAAATATTTGTGTGTGTTGAAGATAATTGCTGAGTTCTTGCTGTGATTTGGTAAAAACAAAAGCAGGAGAGAGAAGTCAACCCAGAAGTGAATTATACGAAAATGGAAAGTAACAGTAAAGCTAAGAAAACTTAAGAACAAAATTGCAAGTAAGCACTAAGATATGAAAGTTCTTTTGTTGAATCTCTGTGTTTTGTCTAAGATGTCATTTATGGCAAGCAGCAGAGGATTTCTGTTTTGCATTTTGGCATCAGGCTACCTTCTTAGAAAAAAAATGAATAATCCAGACTCTTAAACTAGTCTCGTCTTCCTCAACTAGCACAAATGTTGTGGAAAAGTGCTTATTTAAATTTCCTAATGTATACTTAGCCATAGGAAGCAGAATAAAAAGGTTGTTATTTCTTTGGCTTGATACTATCACTCATTGCAGAAGTGATGATAAATTCTGTATATACAGCTAAGTGCTTATGAACATGTACTACTGCAGGATGTAAAAGCTGTCAGTAAAATTCAGAGCCCAAAATATATATATATTGTTTTTTTTCTCCAAGTCTGGAAAGGATTCTAAAGGCTAAACGTATTAAAAGAAGAGAATAATGACAGTAGGAAGTGCTGAATTGTTAAATATATTTCTTCTCTCAATTCTTGAAGAAAAGATCTTTGAAAAAGTTGTTTTCTCTTTTCGGTGTATCTGTGTGAATTGGCTTTTAAAGTTTTATTTTTTTGTACTGCAGTAGCACTTAGGCAACCAAAGCTTGTTATGCTAGTAGACGTACAAATAGTTAAACTGACTATACAACTGCTGCTATTAGAACAGCTCTCACTGACTGTATTACTAGCTCTTCCTGGCCATTTCTTCATTAGGTTAGACTAAAACTTCACGTTGCAAAGTTTAGATTCCAAAGAAAATACTATTTTATATGCAGAAGACACTGGAGTATGTACTGACATGTTAGAATTTATCATGTTATCATTTATCATATTAGTTTAAAGTGGAATTATTCTGTAAGTAATGTAGAATATATGCTAGGTTCATTCTTTCTATTCTAGATCTTTGTTTATCATGCTGGACAGCCTTAATAGCTTGGATGGTTCTACATGGTCAGTGGGCCAAGCCTGGTTAAATCAAGTGCTTCAAAGACATGATATTGCAAGGGTTCTTGAACCTTTGCTTCTACTGCTTCTTCATCCAAAAACTCAGCGAGTTTCTGTTCAGAGAGTACAGGCTGAATGTTACTGGACTAAATCTCCCTATCACCCCGAAGAAGAAAATGAAAAGCACTTTATGCAGAAGTTTAGCTGTGCTGATGGTAGGTACACAAGACGACTGTAGGAAGTTGCTTATTTAATTTCTTTTTGTCATTTACATGCGACACTAAAAACGTAGTAGAAATTTTTGAGGGTAATTTGCAAAACAAAGCGCTGGAATAGCTACTGCTTATGTGTGCATTTGTGCATGTTTTTTCTAATTCGAGCCTGGGCATTCCAAGTATTGTTGCAGTTTTATTGTTCTCAAATTAAGATAATATGCAAGTATTTTAATGCAGAGCATTTTCTTATGTCTTACTGAACTTCAGTAGAACTTAAGAATATGGCTTGAAGCTTAACCAAGAAATGAAATGCTTTTGTGAATTAGGACCGCTGATGTGGGGCTGGCTGAAAACACACTGATAAGGTTGGAGGTGTTTGCCTGTATTGTGTTATTTTAGTAACACACTAATATTTTTTTCTTAAGAAGACACAAGCAGATAAGACTGTAAGGTTTGACAAAGGAATGATGTTGTTTTGCTAAGGTCTACTGCTAAAGTAATCTTGCTTTGGTTTTGTGAATGTGTGTCGTTTGCATATTAACATTATTTTTTTCCACTGTAAAGTGGAAAGATACTATTTACTATGCCTTTATAATTTGAAGTCTTGATAATAGTTTAAAGTCTAAATTTTAATTCTAAATTCTTATTCTAAAGAAGAAAATATTATGTGTGTAAAATTTTTTTTGTGTTTTCCTTTAAGCATTTTCCCATGTGCCTGTAGGCCAAGGACAACTCATTATACCTAAAGAAGGCAATGAAAAACAACTTGCTATGGATGAAATGGAGAACTTCAGCCTGACTGTCAACCCCTTGAGTGACAGGCTTTCCTTGTTAAGTACCAGCAGTGAGACCATTCCTGACCATCAGGTTGAAATACTGCAGAGTTCTGACTCTGGCTGTTCTCAGTCATCTACTGGAGACAACATCAGTTATGAAGTGGAAACAGAAAGCCTGAGTGCTCAAGATAGTTCTCAGACTCTGAGAGAAGACTCACCTGATGAAATTGTGCAACAAGTGGTTACAGATCTTATATGCAAAGTTGTAAGTGGTCTCGGAGAAGAGGCTGAACCAGTTAAACATAGTCTACACTCTGAGGATAGTTCATGTAAATTCAGTCCTTTGGAAAACTCTGTAGAGGTGACAAAAAGTGAAGATCAAAATATTCAAAGTAGCCAGAGTAGTTTGCTTAGTAATGACAGCTCCCAATTGCTATCGGCCTCAACTGAGACTGGACTTGAGAGCTTAAGAGATGAAACTTCACTAAATAACTCTTCCCCCTGTATTGCAGAAAGCCAACAATCCCTCTCTGATCTCACTCTTGCTTCCACTGAATCAAAGTCCAGAAAGCGAAGCCACAGCAGTATTCAGTTCAGCTTCAAAGGAATGCTACCAGAAAAAATGTCAGAAAAAGAAACAATTGTTAAAGAGGCTGGTAAGCAACCAGGTGCAAAACCGAAGGTGAAAATAGCCAAAAAAAAAGATGAAGAGAAGAAGAAAGCACAAACAGAAAAGCTCAAACAAAATGTCTTCTTTAGTGATGGTCTTGATTTAGAAAACTGGTACAGTTGTGGAGAAGGAGAAATTTCAGAAATAGAAAGTGATGTGGGGTCCCCAGGAATGCGAAAATCTCCCAACTTTAATATCCATCCATTGTATCAACATGTGCTGCTTTATCTCCAGCTGTATGACTCTTCAAGGACATTGTATGCTTTTTCTGCAATTAAAGCAATTCTGAAAACAAATCCTTCAGCTTTCGTAAGCGCTCTCTCTACTACCAGTGTCAACAATGCGTACACTCCTCAGCTTTCGTTGCTCCAGAATCTTCTAGCCAGGCATCGAATATCTGTTATGGGCAAGGATTTCTATAGTCACATCCCAGTTGATTCTAATCATAACTTTCGGAGCTCTATGTACATAGAAATTCTGATCTCCTTGTGTTTATACTATATGCGGAGCCACTATCCAACTCACGTTAAGGTAACCTCACAGGATCTGATAGGAAACCGTAATATGCAAATGATGAGTATAGAAATTCTGACACTTCTCTTTGCTGAGTTGGCAAAAGTGATAGAAAGCTCTGCAAAGGGCTTTCCTAGTTTTATTTCGGACATGTTGTCCAAGTGCAAGGTTCAGAAAGTGATCCTGCATTGTCTACTGTCTTCTATCTTCAGTGCACAGAAGTGGCACAACGAAAAGATGGCTGAGAAAAACATAGTGGCTGCAGAAGAAGGTTTCTCTGGAGACAGCCTTATAAATTTTTCTGAAGATGAATTTGACAACGGTAGTACTCTGCAGTCACAGCTTTTAAAAGTGCTTCAGCGACTGATTGTGCTAGAACACCGAGTGATGACTGTGCCTGAGGAAAATGAAACGGGCTTTGACTTTGTCATAACGGACTTGGAGCACATCGGTCCCCAGCAGCAGACTTCTCTTCAGTACTTACATTCCCAGCCAATAACCTGCCAAGGCATGTTTCTCTGTGCAGTGATACGAGCTTTACACCAGGACTGTGCCTGTAAAATGCATCCCCAGTGGATTGGCCTTATCACTTCTACGTTGCCTTACATGGGAAAAGTTCTTCAGAGGGTGGTTGTTTCAGTGACTCTTCAGCTCTGCAGGAACTTGGATAATTTAATTCAACAGTATAAATATGAAACAGGATTATCTGATAATAGGTATGTGTATGTAGAGGTGTATAATCTTTTTAAGCAGATTTGACTGTGTTGAATTACTTTACAACCAGTTTAACCTGTTTTAAAAAAATGATTCTTTTCTTCTAGGCCTCTCTGGATGGCATCAGTCACTCCTCCAGATATGGTTCTTACTTTATTAGAAGGGATCACAACAATAATTCATTACTGCCTCCTGGATCCATCTACGCAGTATCATCAGGTAAACTTATCTAGGTGTCTGAGAGGTTCCTATGCAGTACATGTCAAATTAAGGACTGTGATTATATCAGCAGATACAAAGATCTTATGTGGGAAAAATACCCCATAGATGTCTTAACTATAAATGTGGGTTTTATTGATAATGTACACGTCTTAAACAGAAAAACAATTTTCTACTAATTATATTTGCAAGAGAATAGTCTTAGATTTTGTTTGTTTGTTTTGGGTTTGGGTTTTTGTTTTTTTTTTGTTACTCTGAAATAACTAAAGTAGGAATTCCTTAACTTTCAGACCTCTAAATTGCCACTTTTTAGAGCTGGCTTTCTTTTGTGGAAATTCCCAGGCTGATGCCTATTGTGTTACCTTCTGGCTGAACTGTGTTCGTCTTGCAATATGTCAAAACATTCTCATTATGCTGCTCCTGTATATTCACAATTTGTCTTTTTAGTCAAGCAGTATTTTTAGATCTGATAGTCTGAGCAGTCTCTGTTAAGAATTTGGCCCAGATTCTGCAGGAAAATTTTTGTTGTGCTCTCTCTGGAATCTCGTTTTTGCTTCTTTTTTGTGCTTATACCCCTTTGCCTTCCATTCCTTTAAAAGTAACTGAAAGTGTTTATTGTGTGTGCAGGTAACTTATTTTGCCTAGAGTATTAATTACACTTAGTATTCTGAAATAATTGTTTTGGAAAGGTATAGGCAGATGATACAAAATTGATTGCTGTAGACACGAAGCCTCACATGTTCAGAATACATTTGATATTATACAACTGAGTCAAAAGATTCTGTAACTATTGTTTTTATAGACTCAAAACCTGTAGATACTATTAGAATTATTGAAAAACTATTTTGAAAAAGAGTTAAGGTTGAAAACTTCCATGTTCTTTATGTCTCAATCTATACTATTTTACTTATGCTATTTATGTAGATATTTAATGCTCTCCCTCCTTTCTCCCCCTCAAATCCACTAGCTTTTGGTTAATGTAGATCAGAAGCACTTGATCGAAGCACGCAATGGGATCCTATCTATCTTGCATATGATCATGTCTTCTGTGACTTTGCTGTGGAGCATCCTTCACCTTGCAGATTCTTCAGAGAAAACTACTGCTGCTGCTGCATCCATTACCACTATTAATCTTGGGTCAACAAAGGTCAGAATATCAGGGATAATATAGTTTAAGTTGTTTGTCAATACCTTTGCCAAACTAAATCCAATTCCATTCCTTTAAATGTAAGTTGAGTTTTAATAATGTTGTCCTCATCTACTCGCCTGCCCCACAAACAAGGCTTTTATAAACGGGATTAAATCTACTTTTAAACTTGAGCGTATCAATTCAAGACAACAATGTCTTACCTCTTTGCTTTCTACAAAAAAAATGAAACCTGTCCTGAAAAAATTTATACCACCCTTTTATGCCTCAAACGATATAAAATCGGTGAAAAATCTTAACAAAAGAGAGCTCTCTTCTTAAAACATCTGCTACTCAGACACTTGTGAGCTAGTTTCTTTATTCATTCAGTTCCTGTACAGTGATGTCACTGTGCACAGGGAAATGTCATAGCAGATAGTGAGCTAGTAGTCATAAAGAAGAGCACCTGAGAATCATAGAATCATAGAATCATAGA